CACTGGAACCTGAGGAATTACAGCCTCCCACCCCCACCTCTCTGCTCTATGAGGAACACTCCCAGACTCTCTCTGAGGATAGTAGAAGGGCAGAGAGCTAGCAATAGCCTGTCCCTGTAGCTTTCTTAGAACGTGGGTATCCTCCCCACCTATGGGAGTGAAGGTGTGAGGGACAGACAAGCAGCCCAGAGTGAGCCTTGTGTATAGGCAGGTGGTGAAGGTTAAGGAACTGGTCACAGAAATGTGTGAAAGGCCGAAGGCGAGAGAGACAGAGTCAGAGATTCAGAGCCACTGAGAGATGGGCATAGACAGGGAGATGGGGCCAGAGAACAGAAGGGGGCAGGGAAGTGGGTTCCCTGGCTTCCCCAAGCACCCAGAGCCTCAGCCCAATCCTGTTCTCTGACCTGTCCCCATCCCACCCTGCTGTCCCTTGTTGCCATAGTGACAGGGAGGCTGCAGATGCAGCAAAGGAGGCTGGGCCTGCAGACCTGGCCTGTCTCCATGGAGACTGGGGAGGGAGGGGAGCCACATCTTCTAGCCCTGGTAGTTGGCCTCCAGGACGCTTTCCCAACTGTGCCCCCTTCCAGGGGAAAGGAGGGAGGGAAGGCCTGTCAACACATTATCCTTTTCCTCTCCTAACACCACGTCCTTCAGGGATGGGCCTGGACCATGGGGAAGGGGATTGGGGGCTCAGAGAAGCCTAGAGGTGTCAGGATTCCAGGAGATTCTTGGCTTTCCCTCCTGCTCTCCAGCTAGGTTGGGGGAGACCTGGTCCCCCACACCACACCCCAGACACAGGCTCATGTCCCACCTATGCACTCTCTCCTCAGTCTGTTGAGACTGATGACTGTGCATCGTGCTCCCAGTGCGATGCTCTGCAGAAGTTGGGGGGTGGGGTGGAGGGAAGATTTATGAAGGTCACAGGATGAACAGGGACAGGGGAACTCAGCAAGAGAGACAGAAGGAAAGACTTAAGAGGAGAAATGGACCCACACAGTTCAGAAGCAGAGAGAGGCAGATATGAACAGAAAGACTGACAAAAACAGAATAAGAAAACACACAGAGGGAGACAGATCAACAGAATTACTTAGTGAAGGTGACAAAGAGGCACAGGGACATAGAAAGCCAGGCAGACACGTTTGGCAAACTGGGGAGACTCAGAGATACCCCAGAGGAGATCTGCTGCTTGGTATTTGAACAGAGAGAGGGAGAGACCAGAAACGTCTGCAATCACATTCTAGTCACCTTGACAGACTAACAGTCCAGCCCAAGGGCAGAGACATTGATTAGGGTCTGTAAGAGATGTAGGAACAACTGAGGGACCCTGAGACACAAGTTTGCCCCCACATCTGCCTCTGAGAGGCACACATATGACAAGTGTCTGAGACACAGAAGGGGCCAGGTGGAGACTGGGGGTGCTGTGTGCCAGGCAGGGTCCCCTGGGGTGTGGCCCGCCTAAGCACTGCAAAGTTAGTCAGGCAGGCCTTGCAGGGGAGACAGGGAGATGCTTTGTGCCAGGCCCACCAGGCCGGTGCTGAACGGACAGCTCCCGTGCTCTGGGCCGCCTGCCCGAGGGGCGGGACCCAGCCTCCCTCCTTTCCCTCGCTCCGTCCGTCTCAGTCTAGCTTTTCTCACTGCTGCAGCTCCTTATAGTCACCATCTAGTTTTCTAAGGCTTCTTGTCTCCCACCTGTCTCTGTTCGACCTCAATCTCTGTTTCTCTTAGCTTCAACTCCCTGGGTCTCAACGTCCTGCTTCCCCTGTAACCCCCTCTGCCTATCCATCTCGTCTCCTTCTCCATTCTGTCTCATTCTCTTCCACTCATCATGGTATCTCTCCCTGTCTCCTCCTCTTTGCCCTCTCTTTTCCCATCCCTCTCTGCCTCCCATTGTCTCTCCTCATCTCTGTCTCTTCCCTATGCCTGCCCCATCTCTCTCTCCCCACCTCTCCATCTCTCCCCCTTCTACTCGGCCTCGTTTTGGCTCTCGCTGTGTGACCTTCACTCGTCCTTTCTCAGCTGCAGTTTCCACAGAAACCTCCAGCGGGGCGGGGGAGGGCGGGGACAGAAAGCAGACCCACCCGTTCTCCCAGCTCAACTAGCCCTTCAGCCTCCCTTGCGTTCCCCCCACCACCCCCGCAACTGGGATTTCTCATTTCCTCTCTTGGGGGCTGGGGAGGTACGTTTTCCGCAGAAACACAGAATCACAGTCACAGACAGCTGAAGATGGTCTCACGGACGTATACACATACACACGACTGTAAAGTCGCCAAATTACCCCAGCCCAGACACACATACAGGCCACCCCAGGCACCACCACACTTAACAGCTTACTCGCCCTCCCTCCCCCAGCCCCATCTGGTTTCTGTCTTTCTGTGTCTCCTTTTCCTGGTGTCTCCGCCTCTCCAGATCCCTGCATCTCTCTCCATCTGTCTCAGGGTCTCTGTCGCAGCCTCCTTCTGTCCTGGGAGAAGGTCAGTGGTGAAGGGCCAGCTAACTGGATCTGGACTGACCTGCTGTCTGTGGACAGGGCGGAGAATCAAAGAGAATGTCGGAGTGACCATCCAGTTTGTGGTTCTCAGCAGATTCCCGGGGGCCCCAAGCTTTCCGTGTCCTCACACCCCCAGGAAACAAGACCCGGGTATCCCCAGTTTTGGGGTTTTGTACTTTTTTTTATTCCAACAGGGACTGGAGTGTGGCGGGGGGGGATGGGGGCCCAACTGACCCCCTCCCTGTGGGGGGTCTCATAGAAATTCCGAGGTTTCTCCCCAAAAAAAAAGAGAGAAAGAGAAGAGTCGAGGGGCACCAGGGGACACCCATTTGCCCAGAAGCCCTCCACTCCTCCAGAAGTGGGGAGGGCTGCATCAAGTCTTGGGGAGCCTGAGCAGTCCCAGAATGAGGCTCTCCCCACGGACTGCTTCCCGCTTCCGGGAACAGCCCCTGCAGTCCCCAGCCCCTGGAGTCCTGGGTTCCTGCGCTCCCCTTGTCTGCAGTGGGGGACGGAGTGCGGGCGTCCGCGGCACTCTCTGGCGAGTCCACTAGGCGGCGCAGGCAGGCTCCGGAGCCGGGCCTCGGACTTCACCGGGAACCGAAGGCAAAATCGCGGCGTCCGGCGCGCGAGAGCACAAGCCCCGTCTCTCGCCCACTGGGGAAGCCAGGGCGGCGGGGGTCAGTCCAGGCGCCCGCCCGGCCCTGCCCATGGTCACTCGTGCTCGGCC